TGCAGTCAGAGTTAATCAGACGCACAGTGCTCAGCGTATGAAGGTTACATCCCGTTCGACCCATGACCTCGTGTCGCGTCTATAAATATTTCTCCAAGTTTTAAGGACCAATAAACCGCGAAATCTCTGACGTGTGAAATACTCGTATATACTAGTAGGCGCGTAAAATTACTGGGGCTGGAAGCGTATAAATATACTGCAACCAAAAAACAAAGTATAACCTCCTCCACCCCCTAAAAGCCCCAACCCTCAATTTTCAACCTCAAAAGTATTTTCTGAAACTGATCAGGAGCCCCTAACTCCGCCGTCACTGGACCGAATTTCAAAAAAAGCTTTTTCGGCCCTGGCATAGTATTAACCTTGTATGAAAATGCCATCCAAATCTGACTAGTACTTTCCAAGTTATAGGCGGTCCAAAGATTAACGGACAGACCGGCAGACAGACCGACGGAACTGAGTGACATGGTTTTTCGTTATGTACATGTCATACAATATCCAAACACAATACTTGTGGCAGCAGCGGTGGCCGCAGTAGTAGAGTCTTCGGTCTCCTGATCAGTCGCCGTGCGCTGTGCGGGTTCGAGTCCCGCCCCAGGAGAAATTTTTCTCTTGGCAATGGATGTTGTGATTGTCCGTAGGTGGTAGACGGTCTCTGACTGTCGAACGTGAAGGTACCACCCGGCGGATCTCGTAGGCGGAGCCGGGATGTGTGCATGTTGCATGCACACGTGTTCCCTCGCCAGAGTCCGTGTGGCGTTCCAGCCTTCCCCTGTATCCCCCTATAGCCCCACGGTAGCCAATGGGTGTTTAGGCCTTAGGCCTTCGTGGTAGTTGGACTAAAAAAAAACTTCCTCGCTAGTAGGCGTGGGAAGTAAGAAAATGCGATTTTTCTAAAATAGTGCTGTAAAACGCTTACTTTTGTATTAAAATAGTATAACATCTCTTTCTTTTCAAAGAAGGAGTTTCTGCATATACAATATAAAGGGTGGGCCATCCGTTGCTTTCTTTTTCTAATTGGTATTAAAACTACACTCTTCAATAATATGTAACACTCGATACTTTATTCAAAAGGATACACCTACTGATTATTTATTTATGAAAAACAATTTCAGTTAAATGGCTGCCGCGGCTGGCCTGGCAGTAGTCTATCCTCTTAACCTAATTCTAGGCGCATTTTATATAGTTTGAGGGTCTATTTCATCAATAGCTCGACGGACATTTTCCTTAAGAACATCAGTTGTTTGAGGATCGTTAGCGGGCCTTAACAGTACCCCCATACGAAGTAATCCATGGGCGTCAAGTCACAGCTGCGGGCTGGCAAATGGACGTCTCCAAAATGGCTGATAACGCGATGACCGAACTTAGTGTGTAAAAGATCGATTATTTCAAGGCTGGTGTGGCATGTTGCGCCATCCTGCTGGAACTAGAGGTTGTGCAAGTGCATGTCGTCTAATAGTGGCCACAAAAAACTCCTCATGTCTCTCTAGCGTTCCCCGTTTACCGTCACGCTCTTAGATAGATAGATAGATAGATAGTCTTTATTGTCTACTATTCGTCATTTATTTGTCTGGGCGGTCCATAGAACCTTTGCCCATTAGTCACTGTCTGATGTACGTTAGTCGAATCTGTCAGTCCTGGTTGCCCAGAAACCAGACAAAGTCAAGGAAAAAGAGAAAGAAAGGGAAAGATAAGAAAAAAAGAGAAGAACAAAGAAAAACAGATAGTTTCAGAGGAAACACCTAGGCTTTTTGACTTAGTACACGGATTAATTTTGAGGTGAACTAAACAAATTTTTTGATTCGGTTTTGTTAGAGTGTAATTTTGAGTTTACTAAAGATTCACGATAACTTTTGATTACAGTGCGAGCCGTGGCCTTGAATGTTTACGAACTTGCTCCACTGTGTAGTCCACTGAGTCACGCAACAGAGGGTTGCTGTGCGATTCCGCTTGACTATGTCTTTATTGTCTTTTGGTCATAAATAGCTATGACATAAGACTTGTCAACATTACATATACAATACATAAGTATGCGATATGCAAAAAAGAACAGGTAGTTAATTAAAACAGTAATTGAGATAATAAATAATAAACAAAAAAATAAATAAAATAGGAGTCATTACAAACACAAACAAATTCTTAATGACATCTAACGAACATGAAAAAAAATCAATTTTAAATAAATAAAAACAATTGAGCACTTCAAATGTCTAGAAGAGGAGCAATAAATAGACTGTTTCTTTTCCGTTAAGCTTAATAAATAAATAAAAAGAATAAATAAGTAAAATTAAGCAGTTAGGTATTCGTCGACGGTGTAGTAACACTTTTCTGATAGATATCTTCTCATACGTTTCTTTAATGTCAACATATTAGTGCTTCTGCGGAACTCAATTGGTAGTTTATTGTAAATTTTTGTACAGGCATAGAGTGGTGATTTCTGAAACTGGGCTGTTGCGTGGACTGGTATACTTAAGTCAAAACCTATTCTGGTGTTGTAGTGCCTGTTAACTGAGTTGTTTTGAATAAAACTGGTCCTATGTTTAAATGTGAAGAGAGCGCATTTATATATATAGAAGGATATTAATGTTAGCAGATTATATGTTCTGAAAATATCTTTACAAGAGTCTCTTTTGTTGATATTGAAAATCAGCCTGAGTACTCTTTTCTGCAAGATGAAGACTCTGTTGTTCATGACTGCTTGTCCCCATAGTATTATATTATTGCTAAGATGCGGGTAAGCCAAGGCGTAGTAGATATCTATAAGAGCTGTTTGGGAGAAGTTTTGTTTGAGTTTCAAGATTGCAAAGTATGCACTATTGAGTTTCTTAATGACATGATTCACATGTGACTGCCAGCCCAACTTCCCATCAATATGAGTTCCTAAGAATTCGGTTCCGTCTGAGAAGATCTCGTTGTGCAACCGTGGTTTGCTATTGTAGAAATGCACATACATTGTTTTATCAGCGTTTAGTATAAGGCGGTTTGATACACACCAATCGTTCATTTCTGTTTCTACTCGCTCAATTGCTTGGAGCAGGTCAACTGGTGTTGCGGCACTAACTACTACTGACGTATCATCAGCGTAGTTGACCATATGGCCAGATAGTTTTAGGTCGTTCATAAACAAAATGAACAGGAGTGGCGCTAGTACCGAGCCCTGGGCTGCACCAATGCTTATGTCATACACCCCCGACGAAGAACCATTCACTCTTGTTTTAAGCTGTCTGTTTGATAGAAAAGAAACAAGCCAGCGTAAAGTTTGAGACACTTTGGAAATTTATCTTTCAGCACTGACTTATTTATAAGCTGTGAAAGTGGAGTTGATATCTCACATTTTATAGTTTACACCACTCGCGTTGATATGTCATCACTGCCGCATGATTTTTTATTTGGAAGGTCATCTATTATTTCTAAGATCTCTGCAGCCGTAACTTCTTCATAGACCATCGAGTTGGTAGAAAGTCGCTGAACTGTACAATGCGATGCCGGCATCCCTTGAAAGTGCGTCTCCAACTTCGTATGTGCTATGGTAGCAAAGTATTTTCCAAATTGATCAGGTATCTCGAAGTTTGTAATTTCCTTGGGACAGTGTTTGATTGCAATATTTCGTTGCGTCTTCGCCCGTCCAATTTCTTGATTTACTATATCCCATATTCGTCTGGGCTTATTTGTAGCTTCCGAAATGGTATGTGCATAGTATATCCTCTTGGTTGATGATATCAGCCTTCTATGAACTTTTCTCTGTTCAAGGTAAAGTTGCCTGAGTTCCTGACTAGTTTCTTGCCTTTTCCATGAGGAGTACAAGGATCTTAAGTTTTGGCTAGATTTTTGTATCTCAGGAGTTACCCAAGGCTTTGAATTTTGCTTTTTTTTTTTAAATACCATACTTTCGCCGGGGACATGTTATATCTAGGTGCCACAGGATAGTGTTGATAAATTGTTCAAATCCAGCATCAATATCTTGCTCACTGATATCCCATGCTTCTTGGGCTAACTTGGATTTGAAGGTTTTCAGGTGGTCAGCGTTTATTTTTCTATGGGTGTAAGCCGAAATATTTGATTCCTTACGGTGCTCTTCCATTATTGGCGATGTAGTTAGTTCTGAGAGTTGCGCTGTATGGTCTGATATGTGAGGTTCATAGACTGTACATTTTAAATGATTTACGTTAATGTTGGTAATAATATAGTCTATTGCTGTTTCTGTTATTTTGTTGTGTTTATTGATAGCTGTATGAGTAGCTCCATGACAATGGTTAAGCAAGTTAAAAGATGCTAACAGATCTTGAAGCAGGTAATGGTTCATGTTTGGTTTCAAGTGCCATCTTCATCTTATCATAATTTCACTACTCCAAAAGCCACACCAAACAGTTACTCTTTTTGGGTGCATTGGTTTTTCTATGACGACATGTGGATTTTCAGAACCCCAAGTCCTACAGTTCTGCTTGTTAACGTAACCTCCCAGATGGAAATGGGCTTCGTCCGAAAAGATGAGTTGGCGACCAAAATTGACGTCTGTTTCGAATTGATTTAGAGCCCAACGATATCGAAACGAATGGTCATTTAGTTTCAACTCTTGCACAAGTTGCACCTTGTAAGGAAATAGTCCCAAGTCGTTATGCAATATTCTCAGCACAGAAGTGCGACTGATGCCCACTTGTTGTGCTCTGTAACGAGTTGACATTCTTGCGTTTTCACGCACACTCTAGGACGTTTACGGCTGTACATACGGGTCGAACGCGCTCATACCTTCTGTTATCCACAAGCAGGCCAGTTTCACGAACCTACACAATATATCTGTCAATATGTTGAGTGTTACCGTCTGTCAAAATAATGCCAACTGATGGCTCACCCTTTATAATTTAATTAAGTACAAACAGCATTAACTATACTTTTTGAGAAAATTGGACGCGCATGTTCTTGAAGCGCCACTGACTGGGTAGTCTATCCTACTTGGAGCCTTGAAATTCCATACTAAGTGTATTTTTCTGTTGTTAGTTTGTTAGCTCCCCGCTACACCAGAATGGAGCCAGACTATCCAGCCACTACACGTGATGCTCGTAACACGCTCCCCGATGTGTTTACAACTTTGCAAATATCGGATGCAGGCTCCCTACATCCTCCCACGCGATTGGCTGTTTATCAGCTGCTTCAACAACTGCTGGTCGGCCGTCGAGGCGCCAATACTTAATTTGCCCTCTGAAGGTTATTTATTTAAAAATACCCCAACCTAATGAAGAAATCGATTCATTTTACACTTTATGCGCGCGATGCTCAAGAAATTCTCATCTCATTCAAGATTGCTTTCCCATAAGTTTCCCCCAGATCTGTTATGGACCATGGATGCGTTCTGTTTTTCCAATATCCGACAGAATCAATGTTTTGGCTCTTAACACAACCTCCGGATGAAGCAGAATGTAAAGGTTGAGTTCATCATAAATAATGAACGCATGTTTCTCCGGATCCGCTTCTTATAAGTAGAAGCTTCTGTTTTAATGCACACTAATGGAAGAAACAGGAATCAAATAAAAACTGTAAATTTTTAGCGACAATCTGAAGAGCTATATTTTAGAAATAATTGTTTCTAAAAGGACCCTGAAAGTAGTATTTTTAAGTTTCAAATGTCTAGCTTTTGTGAAGAAAAAAAGGTGTACATCTTTTTATATCTTCATTTAAGTTTTCTTCTGCTAAAACGTTGCATGGACTTAATAGCCTGTTCACTTGGCTTCAATTTGTTTTTTGAAAATATCGATATGTCCACTTCTTCGAATTTTAAATGAAAAAATACCCCACTTGGCTTTGATTAACGATATCTCAGGAACCAATCATCGTACAGAAAATCTCAGGGTGTTTTGAAAAGCTAGCGTAGATTCTATAAAAAAATCAATCATCATCAATCATTTATGAAAAAATGCTTATCATTATTCATATGAGTTGGAAAAAGGAAACAGGAAAATGGGGCAAATCACGGTTTCTCGGAGAACCAAAAGCTAAATAACAAATATCGACAAAATGGCTAATGTTAACCGTGACAAAAACTTTTTTTTTGTTTTTTGCACGATTTCCTTACAAAAAATTGGCGCAGCTTACGGAAAAATCTCTTTTAAAAAATTTAATACTCTTTGTAATAAAAATGTGGAAAAAGCTCAAAAAAAGATGTTTTCAATATCAATGTTCTTAGCAGCTTTAAACGTGATCCTGTAATTATCTCAACAATTTCATTGCTAAAAAAAAGTCTAAGTAAAGCTAAGTGAAGCTTTTCAAAGTTATTGTGTGTATATAGAGCTATAACAGTCATTATTATTTTGCCAATATGTTCAATTTAACCCTTGATTTTCCAAAAAGTCATAATTACCCCTTTTTCCTATTTCTTTTTTCAGCTCGTATGGAAGATGGAAAAAAATGTTTTCCATAGTCATCTTTCCTCAAAAATCCACCTAAGTTTTCCAAACCAGCTTTGGATTTTCTCTACACGATATTAAAGATTAAAGCTAAAGGGCCCTTTTCCATTAGATTGATATTTCATAAAGAGATGAGCATATCGAGGTTTTGAAAAAATAAAATTGAAGCTGAATAAACAGGCTATCCAGTACATGAAATCGTATAGCGAAAAAACATTCTTCCAAGTCTGCGGACCTCAATAAAAAACAAAAACACCTTTTTTTCATCACACTATTTCGTAGGATTAAAATAAGCTAGTGCAGCTTCTAATTTGTTAGACTAAAACATCCAAAAAGTAGGCATTTGGAGCTTAAAATGCTCCCTGAAGACCTCAGTACCACCATTTTTTATTTAGACAACTGCGATTCAAGAAGTCACTAAGAATTTACAATTTTTATTTGATCCCTGAATTTTTTCCATTAGCGCATAATGGTAAATAAAAGCTTCTCAATTACATATTACGTGTGAATGAATTGATGAGTATGAATACTTAAATCTAAATGTGTCACATTCAGGTTAAATTAATACAAAGCTCTCTGGGTCATTAATTCTCGGAAATAACAATATAATAATAATAATAAGAGTAATAGTAACAATAATAATATTAATAATCATATTGACAAAATACAAACAGAAAGAAAATGGGAAAAATACAATAAGAGATAGATGTAATCGTATATACGTACAGGTGCATATTGAGATTATACAAAGTGTAAGAATAATCCGTTTAGATATTTAACATGATACATTACTATAGCGAGATCTCAGAAACCTAGTATTTTGTGAAAGAATCCAGCGATTTGGATTTTAAGCATTGAGGGACAGCATTATATGTTTTGGAGATATTATAAGAAAAGGATCTTCCAAAGAGCTAGTGTGATTGTAGTGTTGGACCTTATGCTTACTTTGTATACATCTTGGCAATGGAAGCTCTGTTATATAAATTTGAAGAAGTTTTCATGGTCACAAGCTTATGATAAAAGCATCCGCTATGCAGTCCTCGAGTATATTTTATATTCAACCAGTTTGTTTTGACTAACTTATGTGAAATACTTTTTCTACGTATACACTTTTCTTTATAAAATTACTTGAGGAATCTGAGTGCTAGCACATCTGTAAGGAACATCCCGTATAGCCCTCAAATCCAAAGCTGGAAATAAATGCGGAATCCAATTTCGCTACGTCTCTGGACATAGCTGGGCGGATTCAAATTAGCTGCATCCTCGAAGGACAAATGCAATCCTGCTGAATCCTGATGAATCCTCCGACCTCCGTCATCAGGACTAGCCACATGCTGACTGTTTAATCTTGGATACAAACGAACTAATTAAATAGATGTTTGCAAACGAACCATCAATGTCCTAATAAAAACGCAGAATGACTTCCCGTTTAATGATTCGTCGCTGGTAAATCCCAATATTCTATCTGGGTTAAAAGTGTGACGAGCGGATGAATATACCGACCTAATAATTTGGTCCATTGGAATAATATTTACCAAATACAAGCAGGCGATTTATGCGAAAAAAAAACAAATCGAAACCGTAGCAGAACATCCACAGATGCCGCCTACCACTGTAAAATCCATAAAATCACAATAAACATAAAAACTAAAAACAGAACAAACTTTCAACATCGGCAAACCACCCAGCGGACGTCAAGGGAAGATATTACCCTAATTGATATTTTATGGAAAATATACAATAGAACCGGATGCAATCAAGTTGGGAGCTCCCAAGTAACACGTGAGAAAATATAGGGATCTTTCCAATACAAAAAAATTGTTTGCTATATCTATAAAGTTTGCGACGAAAGAAGCGCTGGGAAACTAGAAAATCAACCATTTGGTTATCAGATGTTAGAAGCTACCCTGGGCGCTGAATGGTCAAGCGTATCATAGGGTACCTAAGACCTCCGAAGCCTAGCAAATTACTGAAATTTGTCATGATTTGTGGGAAAATATGTAAAAGATGAGATAAACAGCTAGGTTTTTTGTAGATTTTTTTCCCTAGCTGATATGAACAGGTGCACCAGGCTGGATAGATTTTACATTCTGTCAACGCACTCGTTGATAGATGCGGTTTGGAAATAATCATTAGAGAGGAATAGGTGAAACTAACGACGTAATCCAAACGAAGCTAACTTTTGCTAAAAAGTATTCAAATTTTGGAAGAAATTCACCGTTAGTTTTACCTAAATGCTATGTAAATTTTTTATAATTATTTGAGGGGAAATCTCAATTTCTGACCTCGGTGTCACATTCAAATGATTGAAAATTGCAGGGATTGCCCCGCGCAAGTAGATTCACGAGACGCCACTGAAAAGGGCATGTTGCATAAACTTAAGGAAGGACTGAACGCTGACGACATTTCTTGAGATGGGACAAGGGAACGTAATTAGCCAATAAAGTTTAAGTTCATAGATTAAGTCAAACAACTATTGGTCAAGTTATTCACATCTTTAGAGAATCAGGCAGCCATTGCAAGGGTTGTACAGTGGCGCAACTAATGAGGAACCAAGGGTTGACCTCACTAAGTAAGAACGGAATGGAGGGGAAAACCCGCAACTGACCTCCGATAATTTTGAAACTAAAAACTTCAGTTCGTCTCTTATTTTTAATTTGAGCTTTTTTAGAAGTTGCTTCGATTTTCCCTCATAGTGTCTGTTAATAACTATTTGTGTTGGTGAGTTTGTATCAAGTTTACATTCACTTCAGAAAGCACTTTCGTTTATTTCAGGGCTTTTCCCTTTGTTATTTAGCCCCTGTGGGTAAATTTAATGCTACATATTATAATATTTAATTATCATTGTTTAGGATGTGTTATTGTTTTCATTATTTTGCTATTGAAATCCATCTTAAAAATATTGTAAATTAAGTTGCTGTTCCTTTAACTTGAATCGCAATCACTCCTCCAGTGATCTTTTCCCCAGACTATTAGTTTTAGGAAGTTAACTTTTCGTCTGTCATCGTTACTTCACTTTTTTTAGTGCTTATACATTTCTGGAAATCTGTAAGCCGATTATCAATAAAAATTGGTCTGCTCTATCTTGACCTCCATTAAATTTATTAACTGAGTTCAACGGTTCCGAAAGTATTCATTCGGGCGTTTACCACGTTCTGTTTCAGTGAAGGTATGAATCTATTACTTTATGTAAGATTCTACACGAGTCTACCTTCTATATGAAGACGAGTGTATGGTCTGAATTTGAAATTAGAGTAGCCTCGGATCAATCCAGGAATTGAAGTATCGGATTGGGGATCCGGACTTATGAAGTCAAGGCACGATGTTGAAAGGTCCGGGAGTCTCGGTTACAGTACACTGCCTATCTCCAGACATCATGTCAGAATACGTCCATGTGCATTCCACTAATCGAACCCATCTTATCAGAATTAAATCTGGTAATTGACGACTTTTTTCATAAATCTAGACATTTTACATGTGTTTTGATTCTAATGAGATTGAGAATCAAAACAATAAATTCGGTCCAAAGTTAACATATGATGGATACTTTGTGGTACATGGAATCGCATGTTAGAATGGAGTCAACGTCTCTCGATAGTAGTATATGTTGTTGACAGCTCAAATGTTTGCTTATTTACCGAAAACCCACATCGATGTTTACTAAATACAGGTATTAAATTGCTTTATCAGCATAGTACACAACTCTTATTCTGTTTTGCGAGAGTCAGCCTTGAAAGTGGAACTTTTATGAAATAATACAAGTTTTTGCCAGGAGAAATATTCCTTTTTCACCATTTCTCAAGA